ATGTTGATACGCTGACCGCCCTGCGGGTGCTACCCTTTTTGGTGTGGTATGTGTGGTTTTGAAGTGAAGCAAAAAGGAAACAAACTGTTAGGGAGGGCGCCCGCTCTGCGCCAGGAAAAGTAGTGGGGTGTGTGTCGTGCCCCCCCCCCCCCAAAAAAAAAAACGCCCGGGAGATACCCGCCAGCAGCCCCAACACTCTCTGAAACTCCCCGGAACTCTCCGGAAATCTGCTCCAAGCCACCCCAGAGCCTAACTGGGTAGAGACCCCATACCTTTCAGCTGTTAAGGAAACAAAGAAATGATCTGGACTCCCTCTTACATAGCCCCCCCTCCAATCAAAATCAACCAGTTCATGAATCCTGTTCCTATCGCAGCGAAACAAACCAAAGCTAGTAAATCATTGTGAGACAAGTGAGTTTCCGTTTGTTGGTTGGCTTTTTGACGAGCCTCATTTGCCCTGACTCAGTTCACTCCCGCTCCCAGTGCTCCTTTTCGCCCCTTGGAGAAACCACATCACTCCCATTTTTGCAAGTAAACCAACGATACAACTTAGCTAGTCACAAGAGATGTAAAACGCAAAGTGTCTGATGAGGCGTACCATGTCACCGCACCATGCACCCGTCCCTATTTAAAGCTGTTTTTGGCATATCAGATTGTTAGAGCACACTTCTTGAAATTAGCTGAGGTACAACCACAAAACCATGGTAGACTGCAGTAAATTGAAGGTTTCCCTTACTTGCGAGATTCTAGGGGATTCCCCATTCTTTTCAACCATCGTTCTTTTCAAAAACCGATCGCCATTTCCCCAGGGTTTTGGGTGGTTTTGTGGAAAGAATGGGGGAGGTACCCCTAGAAAGCGGCAAACCACCATCCCCCGGGCTCATTTTTGAACTCCCGGAGCTCCCGGATCGCCTACGGCCAGCGCGAAGCCCAGCGCGTTCTTCTCAGCTGAGGCCGGCAGAGACTTGACGCCGCTACGGATCTGGCCCCAGTCCTGAGGATAAGCACTAGCCCCCCTGTTTTGGGATGGGTTAGAGGGGTTTCGTTGGGATTGGTCGGTTGGGTTTACATGGCTGTGGGTCAAAAATGGGGTAACCCCAAAATGGGTCGCCCTGGTAGATGGACACATGGACCAAAACCTGCGGTCCCCTGGTGGCTTAATTTTGACCCATACCCATTGGGATTCGTTGGGTTTCGTTTGGTTTTTTTGGGATTGGTTGGTAGGGTTTGTTGGAAAAAAACCAGGTGCATTTTGGGGGGTCGGCGAATTTGACGCATGGTACCAACAGACTTCTAGCAACAGACCTTCTAACATTTACACTACCTCCAAACTCGCTCCCCCAAGAAAAGACACGGGGTATGCCTCTAGAACCACTATGCAAAAACCATACACCCTGCCCACTCTGAGGAGTCTGGGGCAAGACTCTAGCCCAACCATTGGCAACGGAAGCTTGGCCACCGATTTTTTCTCAGGAGCCTTCCAATGGGGTCAACGGAAAACCCAAATTGGCAATTTGACAGCCTTGCCCTACGCATCACAGAAGAACAAGGATGCGACACCCCATCTACATCAAGCACCTCCCCCTTCCACACGGGTCCCGACACCCGACACGTCCCTTCAGCATCACCCAGAACATAAACGCAAGCATTGGCCCACAAGGCCATGTTTGAGCAACCCCATGCCCCCCGCCCCCCCCCCCCCCCCCGAAAAAAGAGAAAAATACAAAGGGAAATCCGTGTATGAATCTTGTTTCTCTCTCTATCTCTCTCTCCCTCTCTCTCTCTCTCTCTCTCTCTCTCTCTCTCTCTGCCGCACCATCAGTAAGCCGTCCACCAGAGGAGGGGTTATGAATCTTGATTGGTTTCGACGATTTAGGCGGGGGTTCATGTCCACCAACCCCTTTTTTGAGGCTGCTCCCCTGGCCGCTCGCCTTCTCCCTCGCCAGCTCGAAGGCCAAAGCCTAACACCGGAGATATGGGCAAAGCACAAGGGATGAACAAAGGCCACGCAGATGTGTACATACATACATATATATATATATATATACATATATATATATATATGAGCATGCACATGCATGTGGTGCCCCCATCCGTTCTGCCTTTTCTTCTACTACCGTAGCCTCGGCCGGGCCAGCGAAAGGTCGAAAACAACTGAAATAACCACAACAAATCACAACAACCTCGAGACATTTAGCACATACACTGCATGTGTACATAGACATTTGGGTCGCAACCGCCCTCAATAAACCTGTGCAAACAAGGTTCCAACAAGAAACCTCATGCCGAAGGCTTCGGATTTCGAACGCTGACAGCCTGGCTCGAACATTGTGTGAGGCCGCCGGCCCGAGTTGCAAATTCAAGCCAGGGCGTCGGCAGCCAATGGAGCTGTACCAAACACTTGCCAGGTGCAAGTTATCAGTTGCTTGGTCAATGGCTGGAAAAACCTGTGGTTTCTATCCTTGGCCGGGTTAAAAGCTGCTCTGTCGCAACTTCGCCAGGTCTGCATGGCAGACCTCGGGCAGTTTGGGCTCCCCGGCCTAGCCTTCAACTCGCTCGCTCTCGTCTTTCGCTTCAAGGGCCCAGGCGTTCAACTTCTCCAGGTCCGGCTTCCCGGCGTCGCCTGAGACAGGCCGACCGGGACCGTCGCGTTGCGAGCCGGGGAATGAGAAATGGAGGGACCCCATAAACCAGCCCTTGTGGTTGCCTTTAAGGGGACTTGGGTTCATTCCCTCGGCTCCTCAATATTCACTACCTGCAAAAAATCTGACAGCCGAATCCTCTATCCGCCGGGCTGCAGTGGTGATACGAAACGAAGATGGCCAGCCTCAGAACAACCCTAGGTATGCATAGCATGGCATGGCATGCATCTGAACAACAAATCTGCGATTCACCAACCTGAATGGAGACATGCCCAAGTAAAGCTACTTCCTTGTACGCCCTCTGTATCCCCAGGTGAACTTGTTGCAATTTGCCGACAAGTACATGGCAGGCACTGTCTGAGCTAGGGACGGAGAGGCATCGCAACCAAAGGCTTCCCTTCCCTGAGCGGAGTGCGCGGGGCGCCCATTGGATTCTTCTTGCGTGAACCTTTCTGGGTTGCTTTCTGCTCCCCTGCTATGAGCTTTACTTTTGGGGGTTTAACAGAAAAACCCACTAGTTGGCAAAAAGTTAAAGTCCTAACATCCAAGCAAAATGCACCAAAGCTTTCTAGGGGGCCCTGGCGGCTCCTAGCCTTTCTCTTTCTTCTGCGCCTCTGCCAAGGCTTCGATGAGAACAGCACCTGCCACGCGTGCAAGGAAGAAGGTTCCATCCTGTTCAACATCATGAACAGGTTGGCTTCAGGATGGCCAGAATCAAACAAGCTGCTACCCACCAAGGACAAAGGAAAGTGCGTGTTTGGGCCAACTAGAAAGCCGAAAAGTCGCAAAACGTGTTTTAACTAAGTCTGTGCTACCAATTTTATAACATGGACCCCCTCCCCCCGCCCAAAGAAAAAACAAGCCACCCAGATTTCTGTCAAGCGAGCAGGGAGTGGCCTGAGCCGCAGAAGGGGTCGAGAATGGTTTTGGCTGCCGGAACCAGGCGGAGCAGTTGCCGAACCTCGCCACATTCAACGAGTGAGCAGGGACCTCTTCGTTTTAAGTAAGCCCGAAGGGAACCTGCAAAACGAAGAAACTGAGGCGGGACGTTCTTAGAAAATGGGAAAACCTTTGCAAGCCCATTGCAAAACCATGGGAAAACCCAAACCTGCATTTTCTTTTAGTTCATGGGCCAAAATAGCGGCTGATCGAAAAACGAATGGGCTCCCTTGGCCTTGCCAACTTGACTTGGCAACGCCAAACTCTCTTGGATTCCTGCGGTCAAAGGCTGCATCCCGGACAAGTACCTCAGCCATGCTGAAACCAGCAACCCCCCTCAAACCTTTGGCAGCTACCAGCCCGAAAGACAAGCATGGCACCCAAAAGCCATCAAACTTGCAGAGGGCCCCTTTTTGTGGGGCACCCCAAAAACCATCAAATTTGCAGATTGCCCTCCTTTTGGGGAACCGCCTGCTTGGAGCCCCCCCGGGTGGATTTTTCCGGGGGATCGAACCAGGCTGCTTGTAGGTCCCGTGTGTCAGCTGCGGCTCTCCCGGCGGCACCCTGGGATAACCTCAGCACGGACGGCGTTTCGGCCGAGCACGGCTGAAAAGGCCCAAGAATGACGCAGTAACATGGAACCTGACATGGTCCTGAGAAGATCATGTTCTTAAAAAAAAAGGCGAGCCCCTGTCAGGTTCCATGTGAATTGGTAGGGTGCATGGCGAATGGCTAATCAGCACTCACAGGCCAAAGAACGGCTAAGGACTAATCATAAGGAGTTGCGTTTCTAACTGCCCAATCCCATTCTAATCATGGCCCTTATATTGTGGATGGACAAAACCTCCGCTTTGCAACAGTTGGCAGGCACGTTATCCCAGCTCGGCTACATGCACTCTAACTAGTGGGGCGTGTCCATCCACAGTAGTGAGGAGTGCTTAGAATCCCACCGAACCGAACGCCGCTTCCAAGCGAGGCGCCGTGGAGCCATTGCAGCTCCAGCGCGGTTTCCAACACCTCCAGCAGCTCTGACCGCCCGTGCGACCGGAAGCGGTACAACGCCTGGGCGTCACTGGCGCAGCCGCCTGGCCTTTGGGCTGTGCGCCCTCAAAATGACCCAAGTAGTTTAAAGGGAAACCACTGGGAACCGGAAGCAAGTTCGAGAACTCGAAATGTTCATGTGAGTCACAATGAAAACCTGGTGTTAAAACCCTCTCCCCAGAACCATGCAAAGATTAAGAAGGTGGATATCCGCACATGTATGGTTCAGTAGTCGGCTAAATTATGGCTTACCAAGGGATGTGTCAGTTTGGATCGGTGTGCCTAGCCTTCGCCACTCCAAAGTGCATGTCTCATTGCACCACACATTCGCACTCCGATGGCACTGCACTTCTAGGGAGAAACAAGCCTTTTGGTTACCGCATTTGACAATTTCCTGGGGCTTGGAACCTCAAAAACCAGTGCGAACTTCTCGTCGCTCACCACAAAGCATGCTCCCAAGAAGTGGCGCTGTGCGGCAGGGAGGGACCATGCTGAGCCCCGGCCACGTTCTGACTGTGGCGATGAGCCCTGAAACCATACCTGCCCAGAATGCACTCCTGAAGGCCGGCCATGACCTCGTCGGAGCTTCCGCACACTTCGCGGTGGTACAAGCCATCCAGTTCCAGGACAAGCGCAGCTCGTGTGAGCGCAACTGCTGTCTGTCCATCGCTTCCCTTTGGGGCCCGGGCCTTTCTCAGTGGGCTGCCAGTCCTGGCTGCGGAGCTTCGAGCGTCCGGAGAATCGGTGGGGGTTGGTTCCGTTATATACCCCAACTTTCACCCAAAAAACAGTTTTCCCCAGGTTACCAAAAGAAACCTAAAAAATATTTGCTGGTAGCATTGGCGACTGACGACTTTACGACTGCCTCACGACCCGGATGTCCCGATCTGCCCCCCTTGAAAACAGTTGAAGTGGGCTGAAATTCATCCAGTGGACGCCCTCTCGACTCCTGGTGTGACCATCCTGAAGGGATCCACCAAGCTCGGCGGCAAGAGAGCTGCCAGCCTGCCACATTGTCTGGGTCAAACATGGTGTAACCCCAAAATGGCTTGCCCCGGTAAATGAAAAAGGACCATTCAACCTGCTGTATCCTGGTCTAGTCTTGACCCATACACACATGATTAGCTGTGACCGCTAATTCCCTGGACCCTCGTTCCCCCATGCGTTCCTTCCCTCTTTCCTGCGTGTGCGGTTTCGAAACCGCGCCTGGCGCATACGTTCCAGCCAACTTTCCGCCTTGTCGTCATCGCCCATCCTCACAAAGGCCTTCAGAATGCCTTGCTCAATGGTCGCTTGAGGGTGCGACTTTTTTAGGCGACCCCACAAAAATTGTGGCTTCCCTTTTGGGTTTCTGTTCAAACTACCAAAAAAGGGGTACCTTGGGGCACCCTCAAAAACAAGCCACGCATTTGAAGAGGCGCTTCTTGTGGAGATATGGCGTGGGTTCACTACAAATTGCACCAGGTACAACCATTCAAATGTATCTGCATCTTAATGTTAGCGCATTGTCAGCTAGGTCCACTTGGGGTCGTAGGGCCTCAAAAGCACCGTCCAGTTGCAGCTACGTGGCTGCCGTAGGATTTCTCGTTCGGCGCAAGTCTTCTCTTGAGCATCTGTTCCAGCCAGTATTCTGCACGCGCTGGATCAAAATGCTCGGCGCAGGCATTAATCAGGCCTGCAGCAGGCGTTCCGTTGCTTTCCCCAGGACAGGAACAGTCAAATGCGATACTTGACGGCTTCCGTTAACTGAGCGCATTCCCATATGAAGCATGAAGCCGTGGCGCTGTTGTATGTGACGATGTCGTCCTGAAACGTTGCACATCCGGCACATGTGGCACAGCAACTGAGTCACAGTCAAAACCGGCCCACCCAAGACCATGTCAAGAATCATAGAGGCGATATTATATTCGCAGCCATGTGCGGCAAGCGGATTGCCCCTATTCTGATCTCCTCGCACCCGAATCGGTTCTGAGGCTGACATGCGGCCTCGCACACCAACCCTCCGCCCATGTCCGCCGGGGATCCAATCGCCGCGGGGTCATCTCGTGCAGCCAACCTTCCGCTCCTGAGGTCCGCAGCCTCTACGCGCCGTGAAGCGTGAATCGTGTGCGTAGCTGGCACAAGGGGGGGTTTTCTTTTTCGGCCCCGGGAATGAGCGTTGAGTCTTCTGTTGTTGTCTTTCACGGAAAAAAACTTTAAAGAGGTACCCTCGAGAAAAGACGAGCCACCCAGATTGATTGCGGCCTGACCGACCTTCGGAGCCCAGCCCAGGCGAATCATTCGGAACGCTGCAGCGTATTATTTTATCTTTTTTAAGAGGAACAAACACCGAATAAAACCATGGAAGCCCAGTGTTCCGCGACAAGGGGGCAAACCATGGTCGCAAAGTAGCCGCGGCAATTGATCACATTGAAGAACATTGCATCCAGCTTTCTGTGCAGCCCCTGGTTAGTTTCTTGATGGCTTGGTCGGTCGGGTGGGCAGTTGGGGCGGGCGGGGTGGGCAGGTGGGCGGGTGCTGGCTGGCTGGCTGATATCATTGTTTTGTCGGTTAGTTGTGACACTCATTTGCTCGACTTTGCACGGGCCCTGTTGCCTTCGCTATGTTTGATGGCTTTGATGGCTCAGGCACGAAAGCGCAAAAGACTTGCTGCCGAGACTCGTCTGAAGATTTGAGGCTACCCTGATTACATGTTGTTACATACCGTTCCGTACAAGCATGTTGGCTTGCTGCTGCCGAGCAATCTACGCAACGTCCAACATCGGTTTCGTGGTCGTAGTAGTAGTAGTAGTAGTAGCAGCAGCAGCAGCAGCCAACATAGTAGTAGTAGCAGTAGCAGTAGCAGTAGTAGTAGTAGTAGTAGTGGTAGAAGTAGCAGCAGTAGTTGTAGTAGTAGTAGTAGTAGAAGTAGCAGCAGTAGTTGTTGTAGTAGTTGTTGTTGTAGTAGTAGTAGAAGAAGTAGCAGTTGTAGCAGTTGTAGTAGTTGTTGTTGTAGTAGTTGTAGTAGTTGTTGTTGTTGTAGTGGCAGCAGTAGCATTAGCAGTAGCACAAGTTGTAGTAGTAGTAGTAGTAGCAGCAGCTAATGACTTTTTTTGTCGTCGTCGTTGTTGTTGTCGGCGTCGTGGTCGTGGTCGTGCTAGTGGTCGTGGTCATGGTGCTTGTGGTTTTGGTTGCGGTTGTGGTGGTTGTGGTGGTTGTGGTGGTTGCTGTGGTTGTTGTGGTTGTTCTGGTTGTTGAGGTTGGTGTGATTGCTGTGGTTGTTGTTGATGCTGCTGCTGTCATTGTTGTGGTTGTGGTTGTGGTGGTTGTTGTGATTGTTGTGGTTGCCGTGGTTGTTGTGGTTGTTGTGGTTGTTGTGGTTGTTGTTGCTGTTGTTGTTGCTGTTGTTGTTGCTGCTGCTGTTGTTGCTGCTGTTGCTGTTGTCGTCGTCGTGGTGGTGCTGACAGCCGTGGCAGTAGTAGTAGTACTCGTCGTCGTCGTCGTCGTCGTCGTCGTCGTCGTCGTCGTCGTCGGTCCGCGGCGGCGGCGGCGGTGGCGTCGTCGTCGTCGTTGCCATAGCAGCAGCAGCCAATGTGCTTGTTGTCGTCGTCGTCGTCGTGATGGTTGTTCTTCTTCTTGCTTGCTTGCTTGCTTGCTTGCTTGCTTGCTTGCTTGCTTGCTTGCTTGCTTGCTTGCTTGCTTGCTTGCTTGCTTGCTTGCTTGCTTGCTTGCTTGCTTGCTTGCTTGCTTGCTTGCTTGCTTGCTTGCTTGCTTGCTTGCTTGCTTGCTTGCTTGCTTGCTGGCTCGCTCGCTTGCTCGCTGGCTTGCTGGCTTGCTGGCTTGCTCGCTTGCTTGGTTCCTTGCTTGCTTGCTTGCTTGCTTGCCTGCCTGCCTGCCTGCCTGCTGGCTGGTTGTGTCTGGCTGGCTGGCTGGCTGGCTGGCTGGCTGGCTGGCTGGCTGGCTGGTTCGGCTGTGTGGCTGGCTGGTTGTTGTTGGTTGACTGGCCGGTTCATAGTTGTTGTCCGCATTCTCCCATGGCCACGAAATGAAAGCTTCGCCGCCACTGGCGACGGAACAGGGCTGCCTTACAGTCTTATACTTCTTGGTGGTCGCTCTACCTGCCTGCTTGCCTGCATGCCTAAAAGGGCTAGTTGGTTGGCTCCTTGGATGCCTGGTTGGTTGCTCAGAACCGGATGCGCGACTTGTTGGTTGCCTGCATCTTTGTACGTGCCTTAAAGTGCCGCCATGTGTCTCTCCATCTCGCCACTGACCCCACAAGCATGGATCACTCCGTTGAAGCTTACAGCGTCTGGCTCCACCTGCAGCGAATGCCTAGGAAGCAGTAGCCAAAACATGCAGTGGCGGACATGATCCCTGTTATCTTCTGTGCAACGCTGATACGTCCTCCTTGTTGTGCCCTTGGTGTCCCTCATGCCCCACGCAAGCCGCGTTGATGATGTAAGGCTGCGGTATTTGTCTTTGTGCTGCCGTTGTTGGGATGAGTATGTCACTGGTTCATGCTGTAACGAATGAAACCAAGAAACCGAGCCCCAAGAGAATCCAGCCGAACCGAGGCAATTTGAGTCCAGCTTGCGCTCGCTTCAGCCACTGCTCCGCACGTACTGGATCTCCTGCTTGAGCACATGCACTGATGACGCCTGGGCGCGTGGCATTTTGCTCTTGGACACACGCTAATCCCTTCCTAGTGGCTGTGTGCCAAGGCGATGTGAATGGCCAGGTGGTGTATGTTCAAGGCATGATTTCGCATTGCAAACGGCCCTGACATTCATCAAATCTTGGGGGCATGGGCCATGCAACTGCACATCCGCAGGTGTATAAGTTATAGCTAACCATTCATGTGTGCAAGCGCCCAAAGATGCAGGTGCACACATACATACATGTACATAAACAAGTGTAAAGTCACAGACATTCGTTCTACCATGTTCACCACGCGTTCTGTTGGTTTGCCAAATCCACGATGTTGTCCGAGGCAAACTTTGGCTGCCCTCTGCTTTTCCACCCTTTTGGGCTTCCTGGCGTGAAATCCGCGGTGAGTGTTGTTCAAACGGCCAAGCTGGGTGACGAGGAAGAAGCGTAATAACGCGTTGAATCCGGACAAAGAACGTCAATGATGCGAACCAGTTTCATGCCAATTGTGGCTGAGGCAGCTCGAACGTGCCTCGGCGGGTTCAACCTTCATGTCTCATAGCGGTGCGTTTCTGTGTTCGAAATATGTGCCCGACACCATTTGTTCTTAGGCCCCTGCTGGATTTTATGCCTGGGCCCAGAACCTGTGCGAGCCTGCAACTTTCTGCCAGCTCACCTGGGTGTGTCTTTTATGAGGGTGCGCATTGTTTGTTTGGTTTTGGAGGCCTCAAAAAAAAAGACACATTCACAAACTCCCAGCGAGCGTCTGTTCAAGATTTCGACCGTGGCAGGGATGTTCATGCTCCTCATCCGCCGGAACCAGGCCTCTGCACCTGGATTTGGGCGCGTCCTTTTTTCAGGCACCCGAACTGGTTGGTTTTAAAAAGGAAACCAAAAGGACACCATCATTTTTCTAATTTTATTTGGGGGGGTCCATTTATCTATCTTTAGTTGGGGGGGTCCATTTATCTGTTTATTCATTTATTTTTATATTTATTCATTATTAGTATTATTATTATTTTTTTTGGGGGGGGGGGGGGGGGGGGGCATTTATCTATCTTTAGTTGGGTGGGTCCATTTATCTATTTTTGTTTGGGCCGGGGGGGGGTCATTTATCTATTGTTGTTTGGTGGGGGTTCCCGACAAAGCGACACCCAGATGCGTGGCACAGATCACGAATCTGAGGGGACCTTTCGCACTGCTTAGCGTCTTGGTGTGCACGACTTGGCACATTGCAGTTACCCCAACCGCCATGGGATGCGTGAGTTTGCTGGGTGTAGTGGAAAGTGTGGGTCTTTTCCAGCCTTTCAACTGACAGACCAATCAGGATCTCAGTTGCTCCGGGCCCAGAAACGTGCGGCGATCACCTTCTGCGGCCGCTAGGTTGCCAACAAGGAAAATCCAAAAGGTCGGATCCGGTCAGTTCGCTTTCAGCCCAGCCGCTGGCCGAGCACGTGGCATTCGCATTCACCAGGCTTCCTGGGCTGGAAAGCCGCATGGAGAACCAGGATTGACACCCTGCGCTGTTCAAAATGGAGGGCTTGCCAATCCTTAATCCCTACAAAGAAGCTACAAAGGGGACCCCGAAAAATTACGTAACCAAAAGTAAGGCTTAAGGATAGTCTTTGACCGGCCCAATGGAAGCTGACGGGAGGGGAGGACTCTTGGAGAAGCCCCTCTTCTCTTCCATGTTTGTTGGACAAACGGAAACCCTCCAGCATGGAGGCCAAAAACCCGAAATTTGTAGAGGAATTTGACCACCCCCCCCTTTTTGCGTTCCTTCAGCTAGTTTGTAGGGGGGTAAGCTCTTGTTTGAGCTAATACTGAAGATGGACGAAATCCTGCACCACGTTGAAACCATGGGAAACCATTGTTTGTTATTTACAGGGGAAACATCAGAAACCAGGATGTCTTAGGTGGTGCGTTTTATGGATTTCGTCCATCCCCAGCAGGGGCGGGAATCCATCACTGAAACACGCTTCCACGCCTCTGAGCCCAGGCAAGGTGCCAAAGGTCACCGCGTCGGGCGAGCAGTTGGCAGCCAGCATGGCATCAAACCACTCGCCGGCTTTTTGCGCCTGTCGAGGCTGAAAGCAAGTGGCAACACGAAACATATGGCTGTGGGTCAGAAGTAGCCCCGCAAATGGAACCCTGGTAAATGGAAACATGGGCCAAAACCTGCGGCCCCCTGGTGCTTTGATTTGACCCATACCCAATTGCAGAGAAGAATCACCTCTCATGTGCTGTGCTGGTGAAAATCGCTCCGGCGTTCTTTACAGCTCGTCTGAGGTCCTTTCGGCACATCGAAGTGCTCCCGCCTGCGAACTGCGAGCGCACCTCGCAGTTCGCACCGGCATCCAGGTGAATGTGTTGCATGTTCTTTCCAAGGCGCGCATGGAGCAGGCTGTTGAAGACCGTGGAGTTTGGCTCCAAGCCGGAGCCCAGCCTCAACATGCGCGACGAAAGTTGCGTGTTGCCATGGGAACCTTGGGACCTGTCTTGCCCGCGGCAACCCGCGGGTCGCTTTCGGAAAACGAGCGATGCTTCATCTCAAGCTTGCCACTGGAAGTGTGGCTTCCAAACGGGCCCGGTCCAAATGTGCTTAAGCCCCTGGAAAAAACAAGAATATGTCCAGTAGTGATAGATTCCCTTTAAAACCAGCAAGGGAAAATAGAAAATGTTCTTAAGAAAATGGATGATTTCAAGCAGCAGCCGCTGCAGCCACCTCTCCGCAGCTTCCACATCGCCCGCGTTGGCACAAGCCTTCAGCATGGCGCCGTAGCATGGCAGATCCAGTTGCAGATCCGATGGCCTGGCGCGAGAAGTGCGGAGCTTCCACGTCCCAAGAAGTTGCCCATGAGCCGAGAAGTTGCAACGACCCCCGTGCAAAAAGTTGTTTAACTGTTTGGGAGGTTTAGTGGAAAACAGCTTTATTTAAACCAAAAAGTTTTAAAGTCCAAAGATCCAACCCAATAGCAGTCAAGATATTGCCGAGCCTACATGGGCAACTATTTGGCAGGTTAAGGTCTTGTGCGGAAATGGAACTAACGGCGAGCTTTGCAACTGCAGACACCAGGCAGGGTTGCCAATGGGGTGCTGGTGCAAGTGCTTCTTCACGAGCCACCACCCACCCCCAGCTCCACCCTCACCACCACCACCACCACCGCCGCCACCACCACCACCACTACCCCACCACCGACAAAGCAACATACAACCACTTTTTTCCGGGCGGCCCCCAAAAGCCTGTACCGCTCGCCAAACGCGCCGAGGCTCGGTGGGCTGAGCCACCGCTCCGCGCTCCGCACGTCGCCTCTCGCGGCGAAAGCATCCAGCAGACCTCGAGATGTGATCCATGCCACTCGGTGTCCTGAGCCTCTTTTGAACAGCCCCGTGGTTTTTGGAGTATTTTCCATAGAGTAACAACCACTAAATTGTTGGATTGGAACGCCTCTTTCCAGGAACAGCATATGATTTCTACTGGTCCCTTTGACCCTGAGCCTGCGGCTTGCTCATGAAAAGCTGTAATATGACTGCACGCTTGCTTGTGCCACTCACATGGGGTCTGCATCCTTGGCCTCTTTTCGTTTAACACGAGGCTGCTGACGCTTTTCCAAAACATGCACACAAACTCGAGCCCATGCTTTATCAAGGAGAAGCCAACCTTGAGGATCCCCAAGGCAAAGACGACCTCCAAGTCGAGCTGCTGCAAAGCATGATCGTGTTTGCCCGCACCCCGCTTTGCAGCATCTGCTGGAACCACCACTCCTCGGCTCAAGGTTGCGAAGCCTCCAAAAAGAAAAGGGAACTCTGATCCTGGCGATGGGCTCTAGCGGATCTCGTTTGAGTGACGACCGGGAGGTAGCGGTCAAGAAGGCAAGCCCGTGCATCCTTCGCGAGGAAACATGCCTCACAAACAAACAAACAAACAAACGGAAAAACAACAAACACAACGACGAGCAAGCACGCAACCAAGCACGCAAGCAAGAACAAAGCAAGCAAATAAACAGACAAGCCAGCCAAGCCAACCAAGCCAAGCCAACCAAACGAACGAACAAGCAGAGAATCAAAGCAATCAACCAAACAAATCAACAAACAAACCAACAAACAAACAAACAAACAAACAAGCAAGCAAGCAAGCAAACAAAACAAACCAAACAAACAAAACAAAACCAACCAGGCGATTCAAAAAACAAACAAAACACACCAGGAAAGCAACACGAGCAAGCAAGCAAGCAAGCAAGCAAGCAAGCAAACAGACGAGCCAACAAGCCAGGCAAAGCCAGACCAAACCAAGCCAAGCCAAGCCAAACAAAGCCAAACCAAGCCAAACCAAACCAAGCCAAACCAAGCCAAACCAAGCCAACCAAACAAACACGCAAAGCAAAACAAACAAAACGCAGATATGTCCAAAACGGGCATTTCCTGTCAGGCTCCTTTGGTCAATCCCTCCCTTCCGAGCTTCCGCCTTCTCGGATCCCGAAGAGCCGCACGCTTTCAGCATGGAGCCATAACTCACAGCATCAGCGAGCCCGTCCTGGGCTCAGTGCAAAGACCACAGACCCTTGCATCGCATTACAAGCACAGGTATTGCTCAGCATTCCAGCGTTTCAGCTGACAAGCACGACGGATCATCGTAGTTTCATCATGTTGCCCCCAAGCTTCGTTCTACGAATTAACACGGGTTGCCCACAAAGCCCACCTTGTAGCGGAAACTCCTTGAGAGAAATGGACCCCCCCTGCTGGGCTTCATGCGAATTTGTAGGGGGGTATCTGAAACTACGAGTACCCCTTGGCCTCAAATCAAGATATGACAGGCAGGGTCTGCCAAACAAGCCGAGGGGGAAGGCGCACGGTACACGTCCAACCTTTCTGGGTGCTTGGCGCAGGATTCAGGAAAAGCTGACCATCCTATGTCTGCTGCCTTCTCTTTTTTGTGAGGGGGCATGGGGGGTTCCAGCTCCGGGGGGAGATGAAGTCGACGCCTTGAAGTCAGGGTGGAGCTTGCGATTTGTGGGTGTAGGGTGGGGTTAAGGCTGTTTTCGGTCGAGTTCGGGGTTGTTTTGGCCTGTGCGTGAGGTGCGATTTCGTGTGCATCTCAGTCGGCAGTGCTGAAATGTTCACCCACTTCCGTTGTCGCTACCCAGGAACAACAATTCTTGGCTTCCAGGGAGCCTCCTCCATCGCTCGCATCCAGCCTTCCTGGGCGTTGCGCCCGCATGAACTAGGAACCCTGTCCTGCCAACTAAACACATCCCACCTCTTCCAACTGCGCACAGTCCCGCTTGGTTTAATGATCCAATAGATTCAGGCTCCTCAATGGGCCTCAAGGGAATCAAAATAGGGGGAGCACACAATGGTGGTGATCCCTTTGGTTTCTCCTTAAACCAAAGCAAAAAGAGGGTACCCTTCAAGGAGAGACACGCACACAAACACACAAAAGCCCTTGTCAAAATGACCAATGAGTGAATCCGTCCCCTGGTTGCTATGGGAACCTGTTTTGCCTACCATGGATTTTGGGCTGCTGGCATACCTGATCAAGCTTCCCAAACAACACACACAAAAAGCAAAAAAAAAAACGCTTCCTGAAAGTAGGGGGCCACAAAACATGGGTTGCTTCATTGCTTCCTTGTGGTTTGCATTTCTTTCAAATCATCCAACCAACCGAAAAGGTCTCTTGAGTAGGAAAAGTGCCCCCCCCTTTTGGTTGAAACGAATCTACCCTTCCTCCAACATCGCATTTGTGGGAGGGCATCGGCTTCCTCTTCAAGGCACCCCCCGTCAGGTACCATGTTCGTGGGAGGGAGGGGGTAGCATTCGTGATTGGAAGGCCCAGTGGAAAATGGAGTCATCTGGAAGTGTCTCTCTTTCGGGATTTGGGCCCCAAAACATGGAATTTTCACAAAACGCAGAGAAGGGAACATCTTGCTGGTGCTCGGAAATGTGGGAATGACCCTTACAGACCATCCAGTGGCTTCCTTCAAGCGGACCAAGCCTGGGTTCATTCCATTTCTCATTCCGTACCTATCGCACCGATCGCAAGCCACATGATGCCCTGCAGAACCTCCCAACCCAACAAATATACATAGGTATGTGTATATATATATATATGTATCGATTTGTTCATTCATTTGTTTAAAAAGAAAACAACTAATAATAATAATAATAATAATAATAATAATAATAATAATCATAATAAAACAATAACAATAACAATAATAATAATAATCAACGTCCGAATGCCGTCGGGGAGCAGCTCTGTGCACGTCCCCCTGTTTCGCCGCCCCGCTCAGCAGGCTGGTGTAGCAGTGCTGGTTGGGCTGCCTCGAAGAAACATGGGTGGCGCGTCAGCAAGAAGCGCTTGGCAGGATCAGCCAAGAAAAACACGGGGCGTCAGCAAGAGCCAGCAAGAACATTTGGCAAAATGAAAACAAACACGGGCGTCAGCAAGAGAAAACAGGGGGGGGCCGTCAGCAAGAAACAAGCAAGAATCAGCAAGAAAATCTTGCGAAATGGAGGTGAACAAAAAGATTTGAGGTTGGACAAAGAATCCTCCCCAATCTGGCTGGCCGGCATCTGCCTACATCTTTTCCCACTCTCAAGGCCCGGGATTTCATCTACTTCATGGACGTTGATGATGGCTTTGAACAGAGAAGGGCAAGCGTTCAGCACGAAGACCGTCCAAGGCCACAAAAGTGGCTGGGGCTAGGCGAAGCTGCACACGTGGACATCTTTGCTCCCGCAGCAGAGGTTTTGCTGGCTTTGACATGTTTGGGCCCAGAAGCCAAAATATAAAATGGAGGTCAACCAAAAACAAATGTCGGATTAGAAGATACGGGGCATTTATGCCATGCCGCTTTGCAAGACGAACGAGATGGATCTTGACCCCCGCTCAACTAATGGGGCTTGTTTTTGTAGCTGCTTTCCCGGGAAACCTACTATTTCTGGATTTCGGGGTCCCATTTACGCTTGCGTCTATCTTTGTACGCTTCTGGGTTGTTGTGTCCTTCTCTTTGCAAGTCTCTCTGCTTTTGTCTGCGTGAGCCTTGTTTTTGGGTTTGTTTTTGCCGCTCCGTTTTGCTCGCATCTCCCCTTTTTGCAGGGGAACCGGTTGTCGCGCGTTTTGCGGCGCCCACCGCGCCAGGCCGCAGGCGGCTGCGCTGCATCTCCCGCAGCCAGCGCTCCGCCCGCTGCAGCTGGCCCGCTTTGGCGCAGGCGTCCAACAGGCTGCCGAAGCTCTGCACGCTGGGCCGCAGGGAGCCTGATGCGAGCAAAACGAGGCCCGCACGTTTTGCCCGGTTGAAACGGGGCAAGAAAAGCAAAGCGAGCCCAAGCGAGATCAAGCGAGCTAACCCAAGGCAACAGCCAAAATCCAGGTGGTTGCTTTTTTCCAGCCAAAGCGGCCTGTTGCCAACTCCACCTGTGGAATCCAACTTGCTTGGCTCAAGATTGGGGATCTCGATTTTCCGAATCCGGAATCTGCACTGGGACACCACTAAGGAAACCCACTACCACCACGCATGAGGACTACGGATCGATGTTGAACCCTGTTTCTTCAGCCGTGACCCTCACAACACTTCATTCCGCTGACAACCTTCCGTCTTTTGGTTCCTCTAAGATGGCTAAATCCACGGTGTGCCTATCTGGGCCCATCGACCCCATAGCTTTCCTATCTGTTGGGGAAAACTAATACCCGAATCCTGTCATACCGCACTGCCCCCCCCCCAAAAAAAAAATATAGCCCCCCTCCCCCCACCCCCCAAAAATATATATATATATGTATGTGTATATATATTTGTATATAAACTTCCTCCGCCCCCCCCCCCCCTCGCACAGAAACAAACAAAAGCAAATCGAACCGCGTCTCCAAGGGGCGACGCCCCATTTCGCGCATCCAGCTCTCCGACCGGTCCGCACGATTTGCTCGGGCGCAGGCTTTCAGGAGACCTGAGCAACTGAGGGCTGCCAGCAGGATTTGCCTTTTTGAGGATACACTTTTTAGTGGCTGGTTTGAAGGGAAACCAAATTCAAGACTACATCATTTTCGGGGGCCCTAGAAGACAGACGCTTGTGTTCAATCCAAAAAAAAAACGGGAGGGGTGACTTTCTCAGGACAAACTATGGGTTGTTAAGTCTTCATATCCCCCCAAAAAAAAAGAAAAGGGGACAACAAAAAGAAAAGAGCAACCCCCCCGAAGCACTGCACATCAGCACTGGACTGCAGCTGGTCACTTTCCATTTCGGGGCTTGGACCCAGTGTCATTCCTGTTTGAATAAACCTCGAGCTGTCGCTGCGTGTTGTTGGGCTGTGGCAGAGCTCATGCACACCGGTCTTGACATTTCGGAGTGTCTGCGCACAATGTACACCTGCACATACATGCACACACACACACACACACACACACACACACACACACACACACACACACACACACACACACACACACACACACACACACACACACACACACACACACACACACACACGCACACAAACCACGCAAACACATATATGTATATATAGCATATAGTGTGCATATATATATATATATACGCATGTGTGCGTGCACATGCTTATTTACGTAGGTGGTGTCATATTATTTTTCTGTGTGTACATATTAGCGCCTAGCGTATGTTACGGCTTGTTTACGAGTAAATGTAGGCTTGGTTTAAGAGTAGATTTAGGTTGTGGTCTAGTGTTGGTTTGGGGGTGGTTTAGGGCTAGTTTAAGTAGGTGTCTGGTTGACTTCGCGTAGGCCTGGGCTTGTCTACGATAGGTTGCGGGGCTTCGGGTTGGTTTTGGGTACGTTTGGGGCTGGATTAAAAAGGTTCAGATGCATACCCCTCATCTGCTCAAGCCAATCCATCGAGGTTGAGATGCCGTTGTAGCTGACCGTGTCCGGTTGCAACGTCGCAGCATCCAGTCTGTCCTTGCAGTCAAATCGCATGGTGCCGTGTGCAGAATGACCAACAAACTGCGGATCTGTGCAGCCTATCATTCCACATCATGCCTTTCCTTGCAATCTCTGTTGATAAGCGGTTCTCTGCCAATGCCTGCATGACATCAGTCCTACAAATGACAAACATCGAGAAGCAGGATCTAAATGGCCAATTGCTGCACGAGGCTCTAACCACTGTTCGGCCAACTCCGGGTCTCCCCGCTGCGCGCAGGCATTGATGGCCTGAGCCAAATCCGCACTTGCCGGAAATGATAAACGTGGAACCGCTCCCGCCAGCTCACATGGAACCTGACGTTCGGGGGGTCCTGGTTTGGACGTGAAGGGACCGAGTTCCGAACGTCGAACGGTTCCACGTGAATTGGTGGGAGGGTAACCCCAGTTGAGTCATAATCAAAACCAGGTACAAAAATGGTCGACCCAGAACCATGTAAAGAATTAAGAAGGCGGCTGCAACTATTTCTGGCTGGGATCGTCCCTTACTAACCTTCATCTACCCGGGTTTTGATTGTGGCTCAGTTGATTCGTAGCCCCGGTTGATTCGTAGCAACAGTTCGAGCACTCCGCTGCGAACACAACCTGTGCGGCCAGTCGACGATATTGAAGCTCACCGTGTCCACCGGCGCTTGGGCCTTCCATGGTTCACTCTGAAAACCGAACAGCACAAGGGAAAACACTCATGGCTGGGGAAGGGAGGAGAGGGCGGCGGGGCCAATCAGCCTCTTAAATAAAGGCTAATGCAGGGCTTATTTGGGCTCCCTCCCTCCAACTCCGCCAGCTCCCATGAAACACAACAAGCGCGGAAGACTTGCCTTCTGCATCTCGTTCAGCACGTCGTCTGCGCTCCCCCCTTTCTTCGCGCATGCCGTGAGGACAGCGTTGAGCGTGTTGGCATCGCACCTTTGTCGGGTCAGGGCTTGCGTCGGACGATTCGACTCTGAAATGAGTTGCTGCCAGTTGAATAGCTGAATTGGGGCCCCTTTTCTTGAAGCTACGTTTCGTCTGCGCACGACCCAAACATCAGCAAGCGCTCGATTCAGCCGTGCCTCGTGTTTGCCAGCGCCTTCCTCAACAGACTCAGGCTTTGGACCGCGCTGTGCGATTTCGCCAGGGCCACCACCTCGAGATTCGAAATGGGCGGCGGCGATTCGGAGAAGCTGCTGGAAAAGACCCAGCTATAGTCACCTGGCGCTCTTTTGGGGCAATTCCCCATTGAGGGAAACACCCCCCTAATCCGCCAAAATGAATTCAAAAGATGGGGTTGACTCTGAGGGCTTGGCCTGCGCCAAGTCTTGCCCATCAGCTCCCAAGCGAGGCACCTCCGCATGACACCCCAGACCTCGCATGGGATTTCTAATGGGAAGAAGAGCTCCCGGTTTTCTCAGCTTCCCTCCAATTGGTCGTTTGGATTGGTGGTTTGGATTGGTGGTTTAGGGGTTCGGGGGCAGCTTCCCATTTACCCTCTACCAGAACTAGGGCTTCAAATCCCCAACCAATCCAAACCATCAAGTAGGGGCTCGCTTCTTGGTACCCCGGTCAAAAAAGGAGGCTTGTGTGCTTTCTCGTTTGTGCGATGTGTCTGTGTGTGTGTGTGCTGCGTCTGCGGCTGCTCCACGGTTGGTTGATACATGTTCCCGCTTCTCTGAATCCCACGCATCCAACTAATGCTACAGCCCCGAGTTGGCGGTTTGGATGCTTCGGATTCGGATTTGAAGCCCTTCTTCTAGAGGCCAGATGGCCATGGGTCAAAATCCCACCCGTACCCCCAGTGAACATCCGATTCAATCCAACCACTAACATAGGAAGTCTAAAATGGGCGGTGAATTCAGCCAATCCAACCAAAATGGGATCAGCCACAACGGTTTTGACCACAGGCACATAAACATTCTGGGTGGCATCCCTCAGGAGCCTCAGCCAGATCCCAGAACGGTTTTGACCACAGCCAGATGGGTGCGTCCACAGCCCCACCTTGCCGACTGCTCGCTTGCGTGTCGGCCGCAAGCTCTTGCCTCGGACCCGGATGCCGGGGCCGGATGGGCCGGAGGGCTCGTCTCTTCCTTGGACAATCAAAACGGTGGGTCTTCCTGTTGGTTCCTTCTTTAAAACGCCAGCTATAAAACCGGGGTCATTGGCTTGACGGTTTCTGGGGGTTATCAAAGTCAGAAAATGGAATCGGTGGTTTCTCTTTAACCCACCACTTAGGGGATGACTTTGATCATGGTAAAGTAATGAGGCCAGTAAAAAGGGGTGCCCTCAAAAAAAAAAAGGACACCCATATCCCCATAAAAATGCCCGCTTTGTGAAGATGCCCCTTTGGGGACATCGATCGGAAAGGCGATTTCCGTTTGCAATATTATGCTTCCGTCCCTCCTGCCGCGTGCATTGAGTTTGCCATGGTTTCTCATGTGCTTCAGGAAAGGTTGTCTACATTGTCGTGGTGATGGTCAATATGATACTGATGGGCGGTGGTCGCGGTGATGGGTTATGGTGCTGGTTGCGGTGATGATTGTGTTGGTAGCAATGGTGGTGGAAATTGTGGTGGTCTCATGCTGATGTTGATGTCGTTGTTGTTGTTGTTGCTGATGATGATGACGATGACGATGACGATGACGATGACGATGATGATGATGATGATGACGACGCTGACCCGGAGGCGATGTTGATGCTGCTGCCTGTCGACAATTTCTAGTGCAGGCAAGGAGCCGAGAAACTCTCGGCTTCTGTGCCCCTTTTGAAATACCGGTCGGCACCCCGGCCATTGCTACGGAACGGACCCTTGTTGAGGCAGCTTTGTGTGACCCACTGAGGCCGGGGCTGCAACCGATCGCGATGCCAGAAACGAGAAGCGCCCGTTGTGCAGCACCAGAACGGGCCTCAGAGACACACTTCCCAAGAGGGTGCGCTACCCACACTGCCAATAGACAGCCAACGATCTTCGCGAACTGCCGTCTCTTGGCAAAACGCCACCCCAAAGGAAACATCCAGCCCAGTAAAGGGTTTGTCTCAAAGCAAAGGAGCCCCCCAAATGAGTGGTTTCACGTTGTTTGAAACAATCCAAAGAGGTCCTACAAAAAGGCGCACCCAGATCACTCACATATTGGATAAACATTGAGCGTTGCTCCCAACGAAAACCGAAAGAAAAAAAACAAGAAGAAGCGAGCTGCGAATCGGGGAAGGCCGAGAGAATTCGAGCCTGGAAAGCATCTACAAATGGCCACGAATATTAATTGAGAAGCCTCGTTGCAGGAAGCGCGACTCGGAACACGAACTGCGAGACGGCCACGCGGCGCCCTGGCCACGCGGCGCCCTCCAAATCTCCAATCGAATCGCGATTAGCGGGCAACAAGCCCGATGAATCGTGAGCGCGTGCCTGGACATGAATCCAAACCTGAATGACAAAAGGGTCCTCAATTCAGATGTGGTTCCTTTTGGGGGACACCCCAGGCACAAGCACCGGCGTGATTTGGCCTCAAACGACCAGGTGCCGCCCACGGCGCGATTCTCACGTCGCCTTTAGGCGATGCAGTTGTACTCGGCCGTGCGCGGACAGAGCTCGCGGGACCCGCGGGCAACATGTCCTTGGCGACGTGCGGAAGGGGCACCCGACATGGAGAAAAGGGGCGCCAGTCTATTTGGGAGCTGGTTTGGAAGGGGGGAAGCCCACTACTACCATCGTTTGAGCATGCAAATGGGCGTCACCCAGGAGCTGTTGTTGATTTGGCTGGGTACACCAGTACGAATGGGTGAAAGCTGCCAGGTGGGTCTGTGTGTGTTTGTTCAAGGTACCCTTGTTTTGGACCTAGTTCTCAAGGAAAACCAAAAGAATAGCCCCTCTTTTCCCGGGGTCCCCCCTATTTTGCCACATTCCCACGTGCTTGGCCTCTCTGCCAAGTGGCGCCCTCGCAACATGCTCTCAGATTTTGCGATCCGGCATTGCCCAATTTGCGTGCAAGCTCGAGCTTCGAAGAAGCTGGCGGACAACTGTAGCTAGGGAGTCAAACGGCCGCTTCTTGCATGTGGGGTAATGTTGACCCCGGATTAATAAACCCCTGGTTGATTTTGATTGGGGTTCATCACTTTTGGAGGGAACACCCGTAATAATGGGACGGGTTCTTAATCCTGGGTCAACATTATGCGTCTAAGGTGATGTTCTTGCATAACCTTCGACATGCCAATGCCCATTGGACTTCCGCAGCGCACCCTGGCGTTCCTGCAATTTCCATGACGGCGAGCTTGTCCTGGCCAAATTCCAGGCACTATGGCGGTCGCTCCAGAACTAGTTCCGACACCCCCCGCCAGCAGTCATGGAAGCGGAAGGGCTGCCTTGAAATAAGCGACTAGTTGACAACCATTCTAAGTTCCGAAAGCAGCATTCTTCCCTGGCGAACTCGGCTTGATCGCAACTTTCACGTTTTTTCTTCTTCAGCCACTTGCTCAACAGCTGTGTTTGTTTTTTTTCCCTTGCCCGCCGCTGCTTCGCAGGGCGGATGACAGGATGGTGCTAAGCATTGCCGACCACCTTCGTTCAAAACCATCCCAAAGCGGTCGCCTCGGTAGCAGTTTCGTGAAACATCAGCCTTTCAGAAGGAAAAGGCGTTGGCTGCCTACGAATCGTCACACTTTGTTCCAATGGAATCCTCACTGGGAAGTAGAGAATGCGCGTTCAGCCCTGCACCATCACGCCAAAGTGGCATGAGTTGCTTTGAACATTGGCCAGGCTTTGCTCTACGTGATACAAAATGGCCAGCAGCTGGCCATTTTAAGCCGTTCAAAGTGCCTGCAAAGTACGGTGTTCATTGCGCCAGCTTTGCTCCGCTCCTGGAATTCACTGAGACATTCCGGTCGTCCAGGAAGTCCACCCAGCCGCCCTCCTTGAGCAGCTGCAGCTCCTCCGCCAGGTCCGCCTCGCTGTAGCCGTTCTCCTTGACCTGCTCCCAGAACCGCCGCCACTCGGAGAGCAGGATCTCCCCGTCGCCGTCCTCGTCCACCTCCGAGAACATGGCCTTGGCTGGAAAGACCCCAGCAAAAAACTCGAGTTTTTTGCCTGGCGAGTCCACTGGCGAGTGGAAAACAAAGCAAAACCCCAAAAAAGCCCCCCCCAAAAAAAGAGGAACTAATTCTGGCAAAGAGGCCAGGCTGCTGATCTGCCCGAAGCGCCGGAAGAACCGCTGGGCCTCCGATCTGGTCAGACGCCCGTCCGCGTTCTCGTCCATGGTGCGGTACACCGCCTCCACCTGGCGGGTGGACCGAAAAAGCGGGAACCCCACAAAATGAAAAGGCCTCCGACATCTTAAGATACCTCCGGAACACTGCAGGTCTCATGAAAGCTCTCGTAAAGTTGAGTGACTCATATTGACCCACACCTGTGATAGAAGCCAGGGCGACAGTGGAGAGTCCTTGCGCTCAATGCGCCCAGCGTCTGGGGGCATGAACCCAAATCGGGAGCTTCCAGAGCGTTGTTCAGCGACTGGGGTTCCTTGACGGATAGATCCAAGGCCGTCCTGCTGGGTCCCATAAAAGTGAACACTCTGAGGGGTTCTCAAAATTTGCTTTTGGGCCTGGTTTCCCTTTACGCCGCCTTTTCAACCTGGTTTCCCTTTACACCGCCTTTTGGAGGGTACTACCGAGAGTGAACATTTTGAGGGGTTCAGTTCAAAGTTTCCACCGCCTTTTGGAGGGTCATTTTGAGATGTGTTGCTTCCATGGCCGTCCTGGCTCTTGATGGAGAAGCGAAGTGACTTCATCCCAATGCTCGACAAGCTGCTGGATCTCCTCCGCGAGCCTTTGACCGGCGCGGTGCTCAGGTGGCTGCGGTCGCCCACCGCTGGAAATGCCATCATCGCCGTCCTCCCGGGGATTTCGTGGTCTGATTTCGTGATTTCGTGGTCGTTTCGTGGATTGCATTTCGGGGTTAGGAGTATTAGGGTTTCATGGTTAGGAGAATTGAGGTTCAGGGTTAGGAGGGTTTGTGCCGTCCTCCCCATGACGTTGGCTTTCATGAGGAGCATCGGCGCGTTGGTCACTCGGTGCCGCACCAGGTCATTGAAGCTTTCACGCTTCAAGCTGCTCTCGGACGGCAGCCAACATGTCGTGGTCGCCGGCTGGGGCATGGCGCCTTTCTTTTTTTTGCCCGAGCCTTGAGCAAAGCGGCCACCTTCCAGGAAAGCTGGCAAGCACCTTGAGGCATGGCAAGTGCACACCGTGTCTCACATCACTGCACGACTTCTCCTCCTCACCGTTATCCTTGACAGCTGCAGCCAATCCTTGCGGCGACTGAGATGTTCCAAGCTCCAAAGAATTCCGCCTGAGGCCCTCGCCAAAATCCGCCATTTTGGGAGTTCCATCCGCATCCAGCAGAATGTTTGCGGGCCTCAATTTGGCAGACATGCCGAGAACTGCTGGAGGCCGCCCCAGAAAGCTGACATGAACTAACCGCCACTTCAACTCCCCTACGAATTCACATGGGTCTCCCGAAAAAACGGGCGCTCCCCTTTAAAAGGAGACCCACAAAAAAAGAAAAGGAGACTCGAGCCCCGCTTCCTGCTGTGCCACCACCCCGGCCAACCCCCGAGCCCCCCGAACCGGCCGTCTCGAGTCCGGGCCGCCGCGCTTGATGTCTCGATGGAAGGTCTTTGGGGTGCTGCCCACCATGTGCGCCAAGCCCTTGGCCGCACCTCCAGCGACTTGACCCAAAAAGTCAAGTCAAAAGATGCCCCGAACAAAGGGAAATGGGTGTGAAGCAACCCTTTGGCTTGGCTTCAAAGGAAAACGACCGGGAAAATCATCCATTTGGGCGGTTCCCTGAACAGACCCAAATGCCAACCCCTGGCGTTCGTCTCCCGGTCCACCAAACGCGGCTGGGCTTTTTTGGGGCTCCCCGCCGAGCGCCACTTGCAGCCGCTGTTGCCAGGGGAATGGCGCCTCGCACCACTTGGTAGGTGGTTTACGTTTACCCCCCCCCTTATTTGCGGGTGTTCATCCCATCCCAACTGGTGCGAAGCGGATTTTGCTGGTCAGTAGCTTGATTTTTCCGTGCCCGAAATAACGTGACCATATGGCGGTGGGTCAATACCAATGGTACCATTTTAAGGTAGGTGCACCACCCATTTTAGTCGATTTTGGTGGGGTTTGGGATGTTCACTGGTACGATTTGGATTTTGACCCGTGGCCATTGACATCTTCTTCGCACGAAAGGTTCATGTTTCAGGGAACCGAACTGCCGATTGTTCTTTGGTGACCAATGGCTCCAAAAGTGCCAAAACAACTCTCCGCCGTTTTGGAGCCCAAATGTTCTGCCACCCCCCCAACCCCCGGTCAGAGGCAACTCTGCCCGCCAGATGCTCAAATCTTGAGCCCTCCAAAGATAAGCAAACAAAAAACCACCGACCATGGCAAGCCGTGGGCTAAGATGGACAATGGCGACTCAAAAAGCCAAGCCGAACCACCGGGGTGCTTTTCCCGGCCCCTGTACCGCGCCTGAGGGACAGCGGCCCCCTTCCTCAGCGTGAAAACTCGACCTCCCCTGACCTGGAAGAGGGAGACCTGGAAGGGTTTCCTTGTCAAGAGCCAAAAAACAGGAGCCAAAAAAAAAAACCTCGAACCAGGAAAGGTGCTTGAAAAAATCCGGAGCTGGGGATTCGACATGTGCTGCTCCAGCCACGCGCGGCTTTGTCGGAGCTTGCCCTCCACATCCCCTGGGTACTGTCTCAAAGGCGACCCCAAAAATGGATGGCATGGGGTTTAAAACCTCAAGCCCCCAAAACGGCTGGCTTTAGGGTTTCCTCTGGGTTACGCACACCCACATCCCACCATCTGTTCCCACACGGGGGCTCCTAAAATCAAACGCTTGGCAGAAGCGAGTTTCAACGTGGCCAAGTGTCTATCGTTTCGGCACTGCCGGGTGACGGGAACAGGACAATTCGCAAACATGCGGCAGAAACACCTCGGCTGCTTTCCGCTCCCCTGCTAAAAGCTGAACTTCTAGCGGCTTAATACGGAAAACCTCAATTCGTGGGCAGAAAAAAGTTCTTCAGTCCGAAGCAAAATGCCAAAATTCGGCGCCTCCGGGCATGAGCTCATAGACCAAGTACCTTCACTCACGAGTTTTTCGTCACATTGAGCCGGGAGAACTGGGCGCACTTCTGCCCCTCGCGCTGTCCAAAGCCTCGGCTCTGGATCCCAAACCCCACCCCCCCAAACCCCCAAACCCCAAACCAGCTCGCCCCACGGGAAATGATGGGGCCTTGAGGCAAAAGCAGCTCAAGAATCCTCACCTACCAAAGGTCGCCATCTACCCGCCACTCGAAAAACCAATCGCTGGATCTTCCGAGACCAAATCGTCGGTCAGGAAGCCGGGATCCTGGTCCAGGAACTGCGAGGTGCTATGTCACACCCCCCTGAAGACCCACCAACCCCTCCCAAAAAAGAGGAAAAATGCAAACCCCGGGGAAAGACGAAAACATGGACCATGCTTGGAGGCGTGTCTGGGGTGGTGAGTTTGGGAGGTCCAAAGTTCTACGGCTATGTCTGTTTCGGGGGGGGGGGGTGGAGTTCATGCCACTCCAGACATCAAAAATCCAAGGTGCCCATGAGTGTCACCAGGTGTGGGTGACGAAATCGACTGAGAACTCGCACCTCGCCGACATGAGAAACGCGGCGCCTCGACCGATTTTAAGCGACTGCAAAGGCGCCCTTAAAGGATCCATCCAAAAGCCACCTCTTTTACACACACGTTGTTTCGGGGATTCGGATCCATTCCAACAAATAGAGGTTGAACAATTTGTTCAGGCCCCCAAATGGTCGGTCACTTTTCCCATCTAGCGGTAAGCGCTCTTTGTGCTTCCCAAATCTCTATATCCTTCGAGGCCAACCTGCACGCACGCCGCGCCATTTGGGTCTGTCCTTTGTTGTAGGGAACCCCCTAGAAACACAAAAAAGTAGGGAACCCCAAAAAAACAAAAAAGTAGGAACCCCCAAAAATTAAAACAAAAGACCACCCCCCTGGAAGGTCCCCTTGCAAAAGAGACAGACCCATTTTTTTCCGTCCCGAGCCGAGCTCGCGTCAGCACATCAGCGCATCAGGGCCGCTGGCCGTGGGAGTCTAGTCGCCGAAAGCCCACACGTTTCCTCAGGAAACCCAAGCGTCTGGAAATCAATCTGGTTAAGCTGGGGTGACTACACCCATGTAGAATATCTTTAAAACTAAATTTACTGATAGAATATGTCATTAAATTCTACTAAAACACTGTGCCAAAAAGTAAACCCGTTTGAACATCAAAATGGAGAAGACACGTCAAAAGGTCCAAAGCCCGGTCGATTCCCTAGGCAGCCTTTTCCAAGAAGACTGGACGGGTTTCCCCGGTCAATGGCTTCTAAAACGCGTCTCAACCACTGGAACCCATCGAGTTTTCACCAAGCTCACCCCTCAAAAGGTCCAACCTGCACGCGCGCCGCGCGTTTTGGGTCTGTCCTTTGTTGTAGGGAACCCCCAAAAAAACAAAAAAAGTAGGGACCAAACACCTCGCAGGCCTCGCGGCTGAGCCGCAGGAGCTTCACGGCACCTTCCGCCAGGTGGCACTGCGCCACGTTCAGCCACCGCCCCTCGGCCGACGCGCCGGACGCGGACGTCCTGTCGGACGTCCCGATCTGTCGGAAGGCTTGGGCAAGGCTCAAGCCACCCATGGTGGAGACCTCCGTGTTGAAGAGTGACACCTGGAATCGGTGCCCAAGGAAGTTCAAGGGAACATTACTTGAAAAGGTCCATAATGTTCAGAAGCATGCAACTCACTTCCTGAGTAAACCGGCCAGAAAAAGTGACCAAATTTGCTTACAACTAAAATGGTCTTCCAAAAAAGTGTTTAAAGTCCATGAACTCAGCGAACGTCACTGGAAAAGGTCCATGATCACTTGAGAAGGTCCACGATGTTCAAAAGCATGCAAAATTCAAGGGGCCTCGGTTGCCTGACAACATTTGCAGCTCCCCACCTTCTGCCAGGACGGGCTACAGGCTGCAAGCGCCGTGGCTGTTTTACAGCCCACCTGCTGGTAGTCCAACTCGATCTCGAACCCCTCTTTGCCAGCGACGGCTTGGGCGAGTACTTCCCCGCCTAGGTCGCCGACTCGCCTTTGCTCAAAGAGGTACCCTCTCAGGTGAAACCGTCGGAGGAAAGGAGTATGTGAGATGAGGCCGGCCAGCGCATGGCAGGAAGCGTCGGTGAGCAAATTTTCACCCAGGTCCAAGCCAGTCAAGGAAGGGTGCCCCACCAGCGACTGCGACACCTCTTTGGCGCCTTCATCTGTCAGCATGGTCTCGCCCAAGCCAAGCCAGCTAAGCGTGTGGGGCAGGGACCGGCAGATTGCAAGCACCCCGGCGTCTCCCAACGGATTCGACCTCAGATCCAGCCTTCGGAGAGCATTTGGCTTTGCCAGAGCCGACGCCAAAGCCTGCGCCCCTTTATGACCAATGCTATTCCAATCCAAGCACAGCGACGTCAATGCCGGCCAGCTTGCCGGCTCCAACACTGCCAGGGCATCATCGCATAGGTGGTTCCAGGCCAGGTCCAAGTTCTTCAAGGACAACCTTTGCGCCGCCCTGATGAGCAGGGCCGCCCCTTTGTCGCCCAAGCCCATCATGTCTCCATAGGCATTGCGCTTCCGAATGGCGGCCTCGCTGCCGCGGGAGCTGCAGCGAAACCGCAGAAGCTCCAGCTGCGATTCGGCGTCCCGCGGTAGGAACGCTTTTGCGAACATCACCTTAGCCGAGAAAAACAAAAAACAGTTGCAGTCTGTAACAAACAGTTTGCTCATACATGCCGGAATGCAGAATCAGCACATGGCTGCACATGTGTGCACAAGTGTGGGTGGTCGCTTTAGGTCCATCATCAGAGAGTTCCGCTATGTTCGAACTCGAACACTAACCCAGCACTAGGATTTGCATCCGCTGAGCCGGATGCCTGGTCTGTAGCACCAAAGACGGAGAGGCTTCGCACCTCTGCAAGGCAAGGTTCCTTTGAACTGTTCGCCCGCCAAGAGAAATAGGCGGACAGACAAACATACAGGCAGACAACGGAGAGACGGACGGACGGCCGGGGAGGGGCGGGCGGGCAGGCGACAGGCAAACAGATAGACAGATAGAGAGAGAGAGAGAGACAGAGAGACAGGGAGACAGAGAGACACAGAGAGAGAGAGAGAGACAGAGACACAGAGAGGCAGAGAGGCAGAGAGGCAGAGAGGCAGAGAGGCAGAGAGGCAGAGAGGCAGAGAGGCAGAGAGATAAAGAGATAGAGAGACAACAAGAGATAGAGCTAACAAGAGAAAAGCAGAGAGAGAGAGAGAAACAATAACAAAGATAGGTAGCAAGAGACAGAGAGACACGGGTAAATGGAAGACTTAAGAGCAAGAGACAGACAGACAGAGATGGGTAGATAGACAGATAGAACATCGAAGAAAGGATGGATGGATGGATGGATGGATGGATGGACGGACGGAAGGACGGATGGATGGACGAATAGACAGATAGACGGATAGGTTAGGTACATAGGTAGGATAGGTGTAGAGAGATAGGTAGATTGGTAGATAGGTAGGTTGGTAGATAGACAGCTAGGCAGGTAGGTGGACATAGAGAGAGCGAGAGAGAGAGACGGACAAACGGAGCAGGCAAACAAATCATAGACAAATAGAGATCAAAACAGGGGGAAACGGCAAAAAAAGCTACTTGTGTGCCTTTGTTTGATGGTACCCTGCTTGTTGTAGTTTAAAGTGAAAATGGCAACCAAAAGGAAAACTAAAAAAAAAAAACATAGGGCGGACCACCCAATCAACGAGAATGGAGACTCTGGGGCGCTGGCGTGTGGCCATGACACACTCCTCCACAGCGCCTCGGGCGAGATCAAGGAAACCACGGGGCAACGCATAGCAAAAAAGCAGCCCAAATGAAACGGTGTTCAGGGGATCCCCCCTTTATGGAATGCAGAAAGGCCGCTTTTTGAAAGGAGAATCTCCTTTCAAACTCATGCGCCCGGACAACCAAGTTGTGGGTTTCCTTCTGTCCGCCCCAGCCCAAACGAATCGGGGGCTCCACACCCCTTGCGTGGCCGATTCCCCCACGGGGAATCGGAACCGCGCCTCAGGAGCGCATCGGCCGGCATGCACCTCCACGTGCGGCCAAACCCGAAGCCCCTCGCGCGTGTGCAGGGCCACCGCCATCTTGCAGCAGACCTCAGCAGAGTTTTTTTTCATGGGAAAGCACCAAATCAAAAGACCTTTCTGCACCCCACCCTCACATAAGCCCCACACGCTGCCAACGGCAAGGGCACTGCAGCCGTGCAGCCACTCCATGATGAGCTGGCTGACCTGCAGTAGGCGAGGGACAGCCTGGGCCCCGAAGGGAAACCAGCACCATCTGGCACAAGGATCAAGGATTGATCAACATCAAGCCGCACGCTGCGCGAGACTTGGGGGTTGATCAATATTTGTGTCCCCCGAATGACCATGGGTAACCTTTCCCATGTGGGAAATGTCATCTTCTTAGTGGGTACCACAACAGTAATCCCATGTAAAAGACCTTTTGATCAACTCCCATTTGGAGACAAAGGATCCGGGGGCTCAACCCTTCGAATGGCATCGTTCCCTCGCTTGCCGTAGGCTCGCGCCACTTCGTTTCGACCTCCTTAGCCAATGAGCCTTCTTCGGCCTTCACTGCAACGACAACGGATCTTGCAACAATGAGAGCGCGCCAGGGAGAACGAAAACGAGAGCCAGAAAGGTCCGGAAATGTCACCTCGTGCCCGTTGGCCCACTTCTCACGCCTGCGGAGTTGCCATCGATGTTGGCCCCTGTCGGTGAGCAAAAAGTGCCAATGCGATCGCCCTTGGTTCCTCCAGAAGGGTGTATCCTTTTTTGACGGTCTCCCGACCCTGGTAAGCGACCAGCCACAAGGAAAAGAGCAATCGCGAATTAATCGGCGTGCGTCGCAACATGTTTCCATGACGCACCGATGGCCAACATCCACTTCGCAGTTCGTGCAAGTAGTCGTAGGGGTATGACTTGTTCAGGGGACCCCAAAAAATTAGTGGTTTTGAAGGGAAACCAAAAGGACACCTTTGTGTTGTTGTTTTTCTTTTTATGGGGGGGAGGGGTCCCCCATAAAAAGACACACACACACACACCCATAGGGCTTCCTCCATCCCACTGGTGCACCGTATCTCGCTCTAGTGGCTTGCCCCTGGCCTCCTCCGCTCGTGCGGCAAATCCTCGGAGCGTTCTTAGGATCCGTCGACCGCCCTACCCGTCGACCGCCCCTCCCTTATGATGCACACAGTTTGGAAGAGGGTCTGTGTGGTCGAAGAAAGCGTCGGCCGCGAAGCTCGACGTTTCAGTGCCCATGGCACAAAAAAAAAAAAAAACGTTCCTCCTTAGAGAGGCCAGAAGATGCCTGAGAGATGCCTTCAAGGCCAAAATTCGCCCCGCCTTCGGGCTTTCATTGGCTCAGGGGCGCTATCCGGCTGCGTCCGAGGCCCGGACGCCGCAACATGGCCGGCGGCAAGGGCTCCATGCGCAGCTCGCCTGGCGCGCCAGTGGCCCCTTGGGCCCCTTGGGTACTTCTTTGGCGTCACTTCCCCTTCGGGTCAGCAGCT